CTTGGTCTTTCAGTTTTCGTGCTCTGCCAGAACAATTCCAACCCAGTGAAGCATTTTAGGATTGGGTTTGATTCTTAATATCCAAGGAATATTCTGGAAAGGCAGTTATTCACTGCCACCTCTCGATGCTGAGCCTGCACCTTAGGAAATTCAAATTACAGGGAGCAGCAATAGGTAAAGCAACACCCAGAGAGAGGGAAGGTGGCTTCCCCAGCTTGTGGTTCTGAAATTCAGACGTGTACATGCAACAGGTTGGTGTTTTTGGTGTTGGGGACAGCACAGGCTATGCCAGGCTGTGCCCTGAGCATCCCTGAAATTCGGTTCCTGATTTGTATTCAAGCTTTGCTCAGCTTCTCTTTGAAAACCATGGAGTGGTTTGGGTTGGAAGGGACCTTAAAGCTCATCCCATTCCACCCCCTGCCAGGGGCAGGGACACCTTCCACTGGACCAGGTTGTTCCAGCCTGGCCTTGGACACTCCCAGGGATGGGGCAGCCACAGCTTCTCTGGGCACCCTGTGCCAGGGCCTCCCCACCCTCCCAGGGAAGAATTCCTTCCCAACATCCCATCTAACCCTGCCCTCTGGCAGTGGGAAGTGACTCCCCCTTGTCCTGGCACTGGGTGCTCTTGTAAGAAGTGAGTTGGGATGTCTTGGCAGGATGGAGGAGCTCAGAAACCCCCACGGATGTGACACAGGGTAGGGATAAATCCTGTGCTCCTGAGTTTTTCCAGGCAGGCCACAGATGCCAGGGCACTTCAGCACAGAGAGAATATCGCTGTGTGAGTAAAGAGACCCAATTTTCCCCGTGTTTGACAGGGAGCCAGCCCATCCATATCTTTGTGCTCACGTTTCCCCCTTTATATTAACATAAAATTCCTTTTGCAAAGGGATCCTTGTGAAATCCTCGTGCTCTTCACGCCATCCTTTCCTCCTTGTCTTTGCTGAGGCAAATCCCCAGGCAGGGATTGTCTTTTCTCGGGGTGCTCTGAGTGCTGAAGGCAGAGAGTGCTTGTGGCACTCAGCACTTTTGTGCAGCAGCATGAAAGAGGCTTTAAATTAGGGCAGTTCTGCCACTCTCCTGTGCAGTTCCAGCTCTCCATTCATCACTTCACCTTTTTGTGGTGCTGTTACTGCTGGAAGTCACTTGCCAAGAGTGTGAGGATGTGAAGAAAACCTCATGACGTGACTCCACTCGGTTTCTCCCTTTTGTTCATTTTATTCTGTGCTGTGTGGGTTTTATCAGTGATAAAATTACCTCATTTTCACGTATTGCTAAACAGTTTACGTCCAGATAAGTGTCCAGGTTATTCTGCTCTGCATGTCCCTACAACTGATACTTCAAGAACTAATTAATGCTCGTTACAGGATCAGAGTGAAGAGCTGCTGCATGGAGACTAAATGTGCGACTCCAACTGCCCTGGTTCATTTCTCAGGTGGTGTTTGGGTAACTCCAGTGTTTCTCCACCTTTGTAGGACCAAGAATGAGCTGTTTTCTGAGGAATTTTCGTATTGATCCTGGGTATTTGAAATTCAGGGGAGGGTCACTGTCATTTTCAAAGCGATTTGTGTGGTTCTCAGTGAAAATAGGCACCCTGTGGGATTATTGAACACACAGGTTATCAGATCCCAGTGATTTTTCAGCAAAATGTGGTTATTTCCATGCCTAGAGCTTGGGCAAAAAAATTACTGGTTTACTATGTTACCATCCAGGAATTGTGCTATGTAGCTGTAAACTCAAAGTGAAATATAACTTACATGCCCCTATAATCTTTTTATCATAACAAAATTGATGGGAATCTGATCTGTCTGATTGGGAATTCTGGGATTTTAAACAAGACCTGTGTGCCAGACGTTATAGAGGCTCAATGGGACTCTCAGAGACAATAAGTTTCTGTGTCTAGTCCCAAAATCAGAGTGATTTGGGGGGTCTGAGTTCTCAGTGCACTGGCTGGTGCAGCTTTATTCAGGATAACACACTTTCTGGAGGAAGAAATTCCTCAGGAATAGAGCTCTGGAGTCATGTAGGCACATGGAAATGTTTCAGTACCAGTGTAACAGAAATAGTACAGTTTGCTGTAGCTGGGCATTGCTCAAGATCTGATACTTGAGTTTCACAGATGGAAATAAAACCTTTTTGAAATTCCCTCCTTTTCTTTCAGGGTCCATGAAAGGAGCCCAAAGGCAGAGGGAGGACTATGCAGACACCCTGTGAAGCATCCAAGAAGGAGAATACAAAGGAGGAAGTCTTTTAGCGGTTCAGTGACTCTTTTGGGGTGCTTGAGTTTCCTTATGGGTGACAAATCACCTTTGCTTTGATACCTGAGGCCAGTCAGAGACTCAGCAGATGTCTTTGAGATGTCTTTGACAGACTTCCTGTGAGCAGGACTGGAAATACAAACCCCAAATAACTGAAGGCACTGCTGAGTGTGTCCTCAAGTGCCTGTGGAAAGGGGAACCACTCGGACATGGATGTTCAGGGGCTGCTTGTTGCCCGTGTCTTGAGGGGTTGTTGTAAAAGAGTCAGATCTGTCTGGCAGGAAACTTGAGCTTTTGGGAGGGACCTTTCTCAGCTCTGAATGTTTGGAGGTTTAGCTCTGCCTGCAGGATTTCTTCTTGCCTGGGTCCCCTCCCAGCCTCCGTCTCGCTGGCAGATCATTCCCTCCCATCCCTCCCCAGCTCCCGTGGCCATCTGAGCATCTCCAGGGCTGTGCCAGGAGATGAAGGAGCTGCCTTTCAGCCCAGCCCTGGAAGCCACTGCCTGCATTTCAGCAAAGTGCAGGACGTGTCAGCACAATCACTTCCAGGCTTTGCTCCGGCTGGAGCCTCTGTCAGCACTGGCTGCAGCTCCTGGGCAGCGATGCCGTGGCAATTAATATTTATAAACCCTCAATAATACAGCACTTGTGTGTACCTGGGAGACCATCTGCTGGCCTCCAATCCCCGACCAAGCACCTGAGATCAGTGTGGCCGGTCCCAGAAGGGGAAGGAGGTGGGGCTGTGCCCCTGGAGAGCCTCGGATTCCTCCCTCCTTCATTAGTTACCAGAGCACATCACCCTCATCCTCCAGGGCCAAGCTGCAGGCTTATTCCTTTCCTTTTAGTCTGGAGTCTTTTATCACTGTGCTGTGCATTTATTACAGGCCTTCACTTAGTTGTGACCTTGGCTTTGGTGGTTTTCCACGTTTTGGTACAAAGGCCTTGTCTTGGGTGTGGTTTGCAGGGAGAGAAGGCTCTGAGATTATTATTTTTGAAATGTATTTTTATTTATTGCTTTTAGTGTTTTGGGGATGTTTTTTTTTTTGTTTTGAATCTTGCAAAGGTGCTTAGTGGCCGTTTGGACACAGATGCTTCTCAATTAACAATTAATGTATGCATGTGCAAAGATGCAGATCAATGAATAATGCATAGTAATAACCAGCTTGGCCGTGGGGTTTGGGCTGCAGGAATATTACATATGGATTAGCCCAAAGGCCCCAGATCACACGTGAATAACGTGTATCAGGTGGAGGCAGCCCCTCTAAACCCGCTGTGTGCTGCACCTCTTACCTTTGTGCTGAAAATGGCTCTGCTCCCACATCCCGAGGGTCCCCCGGGGTCCGGTGGGCTCTGCCCAAAGCAGCCCCTCGGGAATGAGCACAGCCCTCCCCCCGCCTGGAGCGGCTCGTTTAGGGACAAACCCCAGGGAAGAGGTAAAAGAGGACCCCAGACAGGCGGAGCTGGGGTGGGTTTGGAGCCCGGCAGGGAAGGGGCTGCGGTGGGCGGCGAGTGCCCGGCGGGCTCCGACCCCCCCGGGCCGGGCGCGGGTGGTGCTGAAGGGACAGCGCCGGTGGCCGGGCCGGCCGGGGGGCCCCATCTCCCATTTACCCCCGTCTATCTCTGCCTCCCATCTCCCTCTGCCCCATCTCCCCTCGCTCCTCCATCTCTCCTCTGCCTCCATTCCCCCTTTACCCCCATCTCTCCTCTGCCCCGTTTCCCCTCTCCCTGCATCTCCTCTCTTCCCCATCTCCTCTCTGCCTCCCCATCTCTCCTTGCTCCCCATCTCTCCTTGCTCCCCATCTCCCCGTGGTTCTCCATCTCCCCATCTCCCCTCGCCCAGTGCAGGGTCACTGTCACTGTCGCTGTCACTGTCACCACGGGCAGGGGCGCAGGGGCTGCTCTGTCTCCTCCTCTGCAAACCTGCCCTCCGCCGGAGCCGCCTCTGGCTGCCTCCCCTGCTCCCCCGCGGGGCCAGGCGGGGGGCTCCTGGCACTGCAGAGCCTTAATTGCCTGGCAAGGTCACTAATTTCGGCTCCCCGAGGTAAGCCCCGCTCGCCGGCTCGTTTCCCCGTCTCCCCCGGTTCCCACACCCCTCTCCCATCTGTCTCTCTTTCTCATCCCCTCTCCAGTGCCATCAATCAGCCCTTTGCCCCCCGCGGGGAGGGTCCGCACCGGCGATGCCCCCAAGGCCGGGGAGCTGAGTCAGCATCGCCGCAGCCCCGCTGACCCAGGCGCGATCCCAGCTGCTCCCGCCCTCCGGCTCCGCCGCGCCGGGAAAAGTGAGGAACAATGGGATTCCCGGAGCCCTGCCCGGCTCCACCATTGCGGGGCTGGGGGAGGCAGGGGAGAGGGCGGTGGGAGGGAGGAGGGCAGAGCCCCTCTGTGCCCTGCCCGAGGGGTGCCCGCTGCCCATCCCCTCCCTGGACCACGAGCCGCACGCCGGGGAAGGGGAGGGGGAGCGGGTGGGTGGCTGGGTGTGAGGGGGGCTGTTGCTCCAACCTGATCGAGTCCATTTGCCAATTCACCACTCGCATCACTTCCGGAGCAGTCCCCAGTTTCTGCTGCAGAGTGAGCATTTTTTTTTTAATTATTTTTTTAATTTTTTTTTTTTTCCTCTCTCTCTCCTTTTCCCTCCCTCCCCATCTGGATGCTGGGAACTTGAAACCTCCTCCCTTGATTGCAGCAGGATCTGCCCCATCCTTTTCCCTCAACTTTGCGCTGCATCAAAGAGCCACAGGCTGGCCGGTGCCTGCGATGGGGGCAGGGGACCTGCGGGGCACAGCCCTTTGCAGCTGATGCTGCCGTGTCTTTAGGACCCAGAGCCATCGCTTTCCCATCGCTTCCCCTTTTTTTTTTTATCCGCCTCTCCTCTCCCCGCGTGTGTGCTCGTGTGTGTGTGTGTGTGTGTGTGAAGGACCCTCCTGGTTACTGCTGTTGTTATTCCCCCTCGGCAGGGAGACCACCCGAGCCATGGCTGAGAGGAAGCAGAACGGGCGGCAGGGCGAGGAAGAAGAGGTGCCAGCCTTCTTCAAAAACCTGGGCTCGGGCAGCCCCAAGCCCCGGCAGAAATTCTGTGGCATGTTCTGCCCGGTGGAAGGTTCCCTGGAGAACAAGACCATCGACTTCGACTCGCTCTCGGTGGGCCGAGGATCCAACAAAGTCGTGGCAAAGCAGAAGGATGTTGCCCACCTGGGTCCGGATGCTCCGTCCGTGTATTCCAGGCAGAGCGGGAAGGGAGGGGAACCATCTGTTGATTTCGGGAGAAAGGTGGAGATCAGGAGTGCCACGGGGAAGGAGGCGCTGCAGAACCTGAATGACAAGGTGGGTGCATGTATTTATATCCGTGTGTGTGTGTGTGTGAGGTGAACTCGAGCACACCACAGGCTGCAGAGGGGATGCATCCTTTCACATCCAGCTTTTACGTCCCCTGCATCCGTGTGGCAGCCTGTGGGAAGCAGCACCTCTCCCGGAGCCTTCTCTCCAGACCTCTCTGCGGGTCTGTGTGTGTGCACAGGGAGGGGGCAGAAGAAAAAAGGAGCCCCCCCTACCCCCACAAACACCCTTCCCTTCCCCTCCCCGCCCTCCTGGTTGAGGAGAAACCCCGACTTTTCTGTTCCTTGGGCAGATTCCCCCGGCACAAGGGCAGGGAAATGCCCCACCCAGGCGGCGAATGCAGCTCACAAATGCGATTGTTAAGCAAAGGAGCATCAATGAGCCTCCACCTACAGGGATCAAATCCCTGCAGGATTCTTCCAGGGGAAACACCTGCCCCTCCTCCCAGGCACCGGAGTGACCCCTGGGAGCTGTATTTCGATACCAGTTTTAAGCAGGGCCTCTGGCTACAGTGGGAATTTTTGACTCGGGAAGATCTGGGACTTTGACAGGAATGTGGCATTCTCCTAAAAACCCACTGAACTCCTCCCAGGTTTTTAAGACTCCTGAGGATGTTTTCTCACCCTCTGTATGTGCCAGGGTGTCATAAAGCCCATCCCCTTCCTGAGGCAAAACCCACTGAACCCAGAGGTCTGGCTGATCGTGCCCACTTGGTTTTCACCAATAAATAGATTTAAACGAGCTTTATTCAGAGCTGAGCCATGGAATACTCCGGGCACTCCTCTGACAATGCTGGCTCCTCTGCAGAGGCTGGAAGAGCAGGAATGAATGAAGCAAAACCCACCAGCAGACTGATGAACTCCTGGCTCTGGGCAGGAGTTTCTCCCAGTGGTTTAGGGCAGTCCTGTCTTCTGGAAACTGCTTCTAGGATGTGCCTCCTGATTTTTAATGGGTTGCATGTGCAGGGCAGAAAATCTGCCTGGAATTCAGAATATGGGCTTGTTCATCATTTTCCCCTGCTTTCAGAAAAGTATTCCTGGAGGTCATATTATAAAAATAGAAATCAGGGACTCATCCTGCCTAAATCACCCCCAAGGCTCCATCCACCCTATTTCCATCCTTGAGCTGCTCTCCTGAGCTCACAAAGGCAGGCCCAGCTTTGCACAAGTCCTGCACACCAGCCTTAATTAGGAGGGGGATGTGCCCCACGCTGCTCCAAACCTGATTTTCCAAACCCAGACAAAAGTTTGCCACTCCACATGCCTGAGGTTCGCTTTGACCACGTTGGAGTGCCTACTAATGGAGTAGTTTTCCATGATTAATTAGTCTCCTTGGACTAATCAAGGTGGATCTCAAGAATAAAGGGCCTTTTCATCTTGAGGAGTCAAAGGTTCTGCAATTCAGGACACTTTAAGAACTAATTTTGGACAATCTGATGTCCTGTGGGACAGAAGTACAAGCAGGTGATATATCAATTCTGAAAAGATCAGTTATTTTCTGATTAAATGGTACCAGCATAATAAAAACTTTAAGTACAGTACTGTGAAAAAGCAGAATCCACAAAGAATATTAATAACAATTTTTAAAAATTGTGTTATTTGGTTCTATTTTTAAAGATTGGTGTATGAATGTTAATCAATGGTATGAAATAGTGGGATGGTGCAAAACACTTGAGTTGTTTCTCATCAGCTTAACAAAACACTGATGCCAGTGGATGATGTTGTGAGGGGTTGTGTATGTTTGGGTAAGTGCAGTCTGTTGTGATGAATGACATGCTATGGATTGGCACTTTATTGCAGGAATGTTTTAGCTTTGTTTTTCCAGCTGACTGCACCCAAAGCTTGAATCAATGGTTAAATCCTCAGCAGGTAAAATTGGCTTTGTGGCTTTAAACCAGAGTCATCCTCTCTGTCACTTATAGAGAGATCTTGTCTTAATCTCCACTGGAATAATTAACAAAGCAAGGATGGACAAGCTATTTGTTATTTTTCTTTCTGAGGTCTTAACTGTCAAGAGGATAAAAAAGGGAATGTAATTATTCCACATTAAATAGCAATATATTGTCCTGCAGGCCAAGATAAGGGTAATCAAATCTCTTTGTGCCTGTCCTGACCAGGCCATTCTGTAGGCATCTATCATGTGCTGCCTCTGGGTCATTGCTGCCTCATAATTCAGGGTTAAGACCATCTCTGGAGGCACCAGGAAGGCTCAGTCTCAGTTTAAGCAGCGTTTGCAGCTCAGCCTCTGGAGACAGCGTGACCTGTTCAACAGGTCTGCAGCTCAGAGCTGAGCCAAGCTCTGCTGCTTCCAGCTGCTGCCAGGGAACTTGGAGAGTTCCCTGTGCTCCTATTTCCCATCTGAACTCTGTCAGCCTCCCTGTTCCCACTGCTGCTGGCTGGTTCTGGAGCTGCTGGTTGTGTCTGAGCCCAGCTTAGTGCTCTGAGGCCTGAGCTCAGCACTGGGGCAGGTCAAGGGTGTCACGGTCAAAGCTGGGATTTCTTCAGCAAGGCAGCAAACCCTTGGCCTGGCTCTCCTGGCCTGGCTCTCAGGAACTGCTGTGCACCTGCAAGCCCATGTCCTGTGCTGGGATCTGGTGGGTTTTGTGACAGCACCAGGGGAGGGACCTGTGGAAATCAGTCATGGAGTCATCCAAGTTGGAGAAGACCTGCAAGGTCACAGAGTACAACCTGTGCCCCATCCCCACCTTGTTCCCCAGCCCAGAACACTTCCTTGGGCATCTCCAGGGGTGGGGACTCCACCACCTCCCTGGACAGCCCCTGCCAATGATTAACAACCCTTTCCATGATGGAATTTCCCCAATATCCAACCTGACCCTCCCCTGGTTGAGCTTGAGGCCGTTCCCTCTCCTCCTCTCCCTTGTTCCCTGGCAGCTCCCCCCTCCTGTCAGGGGGTTGCAGAGCCAGAAGGTCCCCCCTGAGCCTCCTTTTCTCCAGGCTGAGCCCCCCCAGCTCCCTCAGCCACTCCTGCTGCTCCAGCCCCTTCCCAGCTCCATCAGCTGCCCCTCTCAGGACTGACTCTCCAGACCCCTCCCCAGCTCCACTGCCCAAACACTGCTTTGCAGTCAGTGCAGAACCTGGAAAATACCTGGTCCCAGAGCAGGGAGCTGCTGGAATGGCATCCCAGGGCAGTTTTCCTCTGTTCCTTAGATGATCAGTCTGGAGAGAGGTGCATTCATCCACGGTTTGGTAAACCTTGGCCATCGCTCTCTTGACCTGGGTCATTTCTCTGAGTGCATTCCCCAGATTTCCCACGTTTGTGGGAATTCTTATTCCTTCTGCCTGGCTCACCTGTTGACACTTTTGGGACAGAGACAGTTTTCTAGGGAATGTCTACAGAGAAAAACAAGGGGGATCACAAGCCTGGGGCTTTAATCTGGTTTGCATGGAGAGCCTGAGTAGACACTTCAACACAAGGACAAGCCCTGGCATCCCAAATTTCCTCTTCCTCTGCCACCTTGTCATTACTCCAGTGATTCAGGTGGCTCCCCTGAGCACCTTTACATCCCTTTTTTTGCATCCCTTAGCAGCAGCTCATGGGCCTTTGGGAAGAGGAGAGAACTGTGTGTAAACTGCTGGTCTAAACCAACAAAGCCTATTGTAATAAGTAACAATAATGAACAAACAGAGAGCAGGAAAATATTTTTGTTTCAGAATTGACAGGAGAGGACTCGCTTGCAAAACACTGTCATGAAGCTTGTGACATGACTGGACTTTTTCCTAAAACCTCAAAGCTCTCAGGATCATAGTTGTTCGTTCCTGGAGAGAAATAATGAATAACAGGATGTTGTTGAGAGCTCAAATAATCACAGACTCTGGAACATTAATGGAACTGTTGTGTAAAACAAAGGAGCTGTTCCAGACAGCTGGAAATGCAGTTCTGAGTTCAATTTGCTACAATGCCTGCAATTTTTCTAGCCTTGTTTCCACAATCACTGCTTGCAAAATAATCCTACAGGAGCATGACTTGCATGTTCTTCCAGTGGGTCCTGATGGTTTGTCTGACTGGGGCAAAAACCCAAACAGTGATGGGCACAAATGCCAAAGTCTATATGCCAACTTCCTATATCCCTCTCAGAGCCACCAGTCTGCTGTTCCACACATCCAGTGGGGGTCTTGTGGGGTGGTTTTATATCCAGAATTTACCACCTTTTCATGCAGGAATGAACAAAGGGCTTTGGTGCAGGGCCAATGGATTATTTGGGCTAAAGACTGGAGGGGACAAATTGAACCCCTGGGGTCAGAACTCCCTGCTCAGCTTGGAGCTGGTGCAGGTTTTACCTCACAATTCCTTGGTGTGCCCCCCTTCTGGCACTGCTTTGGCCATCCTTTGCATGAACATCTGTTTTCAGCAGGTGCTGAGCAGTCATTTAACTGTTTTTTACCTCCCCATGTCACTTGTCTGTCCTGTGGCACATATAAATCTGAGTGACTCTGCTGGGATGTTGTAAAGTTGGGAAATGACAGCAAAGCTCATGTGAAGGTTGTGTGTGTGTGTGTGTGTGTGTTCTGCATCTTTTGGTCTAAAAAGTGGCAGAATCTGGAAGCAGCACTGCAGGAAACCTCCCAAAAAACCAAACCCCTTTGCACTTCTGGGTGAATGTTAATGTCCTGTTCTGTGGTCACCTCCCAGAGGGCAGGAATGAGTCTCAGGGTGGAGAAGAGAGGACAGAATTTTAATTTATCACTGAGTAATGATTGGCCTGTACCTCAGAGGTGGGCAAAGCTGGCTGGAACAACGGGGACAGCAGTTGCTGAGAGCCTGATGCTTTGCCCTGCAGGTTTTTAGGGAAGGAGAAGGGATTATGATCACAGAATCCTGGAACAGTCAGGGTTGGAAGGGACCTCTGGAGATCATCTAGTCCAACCTCCAAATAATGGCAGGAAACAGTGCAAATCCCTGAAAACAGGCATTTCTTAGCCTCTACCCATGGTTCCCATGGCCTGGGGATGCCAGAGGGGGGAAAGGGC